CGAGTCAGAGAAGGGACACACACACACATACACACACACACACACACACACACACACACACACCAAGAAGCCATCTCATTGGAGTCAGACAGCACAACAGGAAACACCACAGGTAGTTCTCCTAAGCACAGAGGACCCCAAAGAGGACTTCCCAGCCTGGAAGGAGAAAAGAGAGCGGAGCTGGAGGGCAGGCCCAAAGAAGGTCAGCACAGACCCCAAGCAGGGAGAAGAGGTCACGGGAAGCCCCAGGGCAGCCCCTCGGGAGGAAAGGCCCCTCCCGCTGGCAGCTCAGGAAGCACAGGTGCACACTTACAAGCAGGTGCACATTTGGCCCGATGGAGCCGCCTCTCCCAGGAAGACATGGCCCAGGAGTCCAGGGTGTCCAGCCCCTGTGATAAAAAAGGAGGAGGAATAGAAGGTGGTGAGGGCTGCCTTCAGGGCCTCCCTCCTAGAGACCATAGCCCTCCCCTTCCATCACCCGGAGAAAGGGAGACCCTTTCCCCCAGGGCCCCAGCTGCTCCATCTGCCCAGGCTCACCTATGAGAGGTCCAGAAGGGAGACTTTTCGGAGGTGCCAAGACCTCGTTTGTACTCTCCCAGGTGGCATCTCTGTGGCAGACCTGTGAGACCTGCTGCCTGAATAAGGCCTCTCCTTCCCATGGTCCAATATCCCCCAGCTTCCGCTCCCTCCTCCTGCAGTAAACCTTTGTGTCCTCCACAAGCCAGCACAAAACCCACTTGTCCAGAGAACAAACGTGTTCTCCTCTCACCACAGAAAGCACACGAGGTAGAGCTAAGACACAAAGGGAGGCCCTCAGCCAGGGCAAGGGGAACCTCTCACCCCCAGCTCTGCCTGCCACCAGCGGGGCCTCTCATGCCTCCAATCAGGACTCTTCACCTGACACAGCAGAGAAAATGATGTGATGAAGAAATCCTATATTCCAAACCAGAAATCCCAACCGATGGGATTTACCATCAGCAATAAGGACTGCCCTGACCTGATGGATGGACCATCGCCATTCAGCTAGCTGATTTGAACACCCAACCTGTTGAAGTGCCGATCTCCGGTGTCTAATATCATGTGGGCATGGAGGGCCTCTCCTCTCTCACCTATGCAACTTCTCAGACGATGTGCCCAGAACTGTGCAAGGTGTTAAGGATGAGTGGGGTGAACAAGACAAAGTCCCAGTCTTCATGGGGCTTATGTTCTTGTTCACAGGGCCAGTACGTTGCACAAACTTCATGGTGGGTCTTTATGTACCCTGTCTCCCTCCCTCTGGGTCACTTCTGGCTGAATTCTTCGCCTCCGACAAAGGACTGGCATATAGCGAGTATTCTGAACTCTTAGTCCCTGAGGCCCGGCACCAGCTCTTGACTCTTCCTTGGTGAATGCAGTCTCTCCACCTTGTCCCCTGGCTCTCCCTCTTCACTGTTGGTCTGACCTCCTGGGAGGACAAGGACCCTTCCTTTGCCAAGTTTCAATGTTCTCGCCCAACTTGGGTCCCTGCTTCCTGAGGGCTCCACAGCTCTTATGCTGCAGCCCCAGGCCCAGCCCCAGGAGTCAAGCTATCCCCTCTGTCATGGGCCCTCAGAAAGCAGGAGTCACAGGGGGGGGTGGTCAGAGGAAACCACCACATCTCACACCTCCAGAGGGCTCCTCCCTCAACCTGGCCTTTCTTCCTCCCCATGCACTCTCCCCGCTCAGATGTGGCCTCTGGGAGACTGGTGTTAGGAAGCCAAGACAGCCCGCGCTGTGCAGAATCAGGGGCAACATGATCCTGCTCAAACGATTAGACGTCAGTGCTGATCTGGCGCTTTTAATCCTCTGTCCTTTGACAGTCTGGTGAAGCCTTTGGACCCCTTCTCAGAAGACTGTCCTTAAGGACATAAAATAAAACACAGACGATCACATGGGAAACCAATTCTACGGCAGGACAGTTAGGAATACGTTTTATAACACCGCAGGCTTGGGTGGTAGCTCTGCCTCTTTATTAGCACATCCGATAACAAGATCGAGAAGCAGGTCACCTCCCTGCCAAACCTCTGAAGTCCTGGTGAGCATAATTGGTATTCTGAGATGTCAGCAACAACTGGAAGGTGTCGGGATGCTCTCTGTGATTTCTCTCAGTGATGGTCCCTGGCCCTCAATATTCCTGTGGTTTTCAGATCATAGTAATCATTGGAAAGGGAGCAAAATGTCAGTGAGATGGAGGTTTGTGTCAATCCCCATCTTGGATCCCTGAGAACAGCTGAGCTTTGGGGAACGAGACGATGTTGACATGAAAACTGGCCAGCTGCTGGTTTGGGAACCCCCCCCCCCCATGTGTCCTACCAACACAGGCAATCCTGACAGGAGCATTCAAAGCCTCCCCTGGCTTCCCCTAACTACCTCAGCAACACGGCACCCCCAACTCAGTCACCTTGAGGGGACCCATTCTGCTCTTGTTGACCCTGAGGAGTAATGTGAGAAACCTGCTGGGTTACCTGGTCCAGGTCTAAGTATTTTTTTTCCCTTTACCAAAGCAAAGGGGGAACACCTGCCCTGGAATCCAACACAGAAGAAAGTCCACTGGGGAATGAGGTGTGTTCAATAAGGATGGTTGCACCACCAACAGGCTGTGATTCCTGGAGTCTTGTGGGACATTCTGGTCCCACTTTGATACGGTTAGGACCACTGTCTACGGGGTGAGAACACTCCGTAGCTGGGACTCTTATGAAGACAGCTTTGACCTTTTGGCCCCTGACCTAATGTGTGTGGGGGCCAAAGACCATTCTCTAGGAATCACGTTCAGGGCCCTGTCTGGGTCAGGCCTGAGCCTCACATTCGGGGGTCTCAACGTGCCAGAGGAGTGAGGACTGGCTCCCCCGGAGACTTGGATCCACTAGCTGATTGAGGAGCCCCAGTATATTACCCCTCTACCTCAGTTTCTCCATCTTCGAAAAGAGTGGCTGCATTACCTTCCAGCTCAAACTCTATTGAATGGTGGTTCTAAAACTGGCAAGGTAGGCATATGAGAAATAAAAGACCCAGAAAGTTCATTTGCAGTAGTAAATACGATGGGCAGGTCCCCCACCCAGCCTTTTTGAGGCCTTCATCTCTATTGCCAAAGGGCAGGTAGTTGGGACACTTTGCTTTCCATCCAACCTGCTGGCCGTATTGACTACCCAGAGCTGATCCCTGGGGCTAGGGTTTGAGGAGGGGCCCCAAGCTGCTCAGGGCCCTGGCCGTACAGGTGGGCTGAGTTGGTAGCCTAGGTGTTGTGGAAAGGAGACAACAAATACAGACCAGGACTAGAAATGGATCCTGAGTCACCACAGAAGATCAAAACCCAATTCATGAGTCCATTTGGACTCCGAGTGACTCTGTAGCGCAGAGAGAGAAACTGCCCCTTCGAGTTTCTGAGACTGAATCTTTACGGGGCAGAAAGCCTCATCTTTCTCTGTCGGAGTGGGTGGTGAGTGGGTAAAGGAGAAAACAAAAGGGTTGTGTTTGCCACAGACAGGACAGGGGCAAGGAAGAATGCTCTAGAAACTCAGGGCTCTGCTCTCCAACACACCCTGCCTGGCCACCCCAGCTCTGTGGCCCAGGGAATGGACAGAGGCCGCAGACAGGAATTGGGGCTTCCCCAAGCCAGGCAGGGAAAAAAGAACTCCCCTCTACTAATCCCCCTCCCACCTTCTTCCAGGTGCACTGCATTGGCCTGCTCCCCCACAGACATGCATAAATGAGCCAGGTGACAGGATACTGAGAGGAGGAGAGTGTCTTAAGAAAATGCACGTCTCAAATGTGTCCCTCCGCATGACTCCAGAGATGAGACTGCCCTCAAGAAACCCAGAGAGCCCCCTGGAAGCCTCAGACTCAGGCAGAAAGCATCCCTCCTGCCGGCAGGAGTTGGGGGTAGGGAGTGGCGTCCTACCTGTCCTCCCATTACTGTAGGAGCATCCCCTTCTATGGTCGCCTCCTGGTGACTGAGACTAGAAGAGAGAAAAGGCTGGCACGGGTGTGGGGCTAGAGGAGTTGTGCCTCCCCACCGCGGGGAGCCAGTCCTCACCCCACCCCCCAAGCCCATCCTACCCACACTAGGCAGGAAGATGGGAGGAGGGGGCGGCCACCACAAGACTTACTCACCTGGGTTCCAGAGCTGGCTCTGGTCGCAGCTCAGCGTTCCCGGGAGGTGCGGTGGTCGCAGCTGTGGACAGGGGATTCTCAGCTCTCAACCTTTGCCTCCCTTTGTGAGGGTCTCCCAGCACCCGCATCCCAAACACACATCTGCTGGGGCCCCTCTCCCTCATCGTCCAGCACTCCCCCACCCCCACCGACCCGTCCCTACGCTCTCTCCCTCCCAGTCATCCACGCAAATCCCCTGGCTCCCTCCCTCACCGTTCTCCAACAAGGGTCTCCCTCTGGCCTCCCCCCCCCCCCCCAGGTCAGGACCCTACCTTGGGTCGCTCCCATACTGCTAGATTCAGGACCCTTCTTAAAGTGCCAACTTCTCATTCTCTGGGACCTCTCTCTCCGCCCCACCCCCGCCGCACCTGTCTGTCCCAGGGCGCCCCCTGAGCCCCCACCTCCCACCCCCGCTCTTCCCTACAAGCCCTATACCCGAGCCCACCCAGCGCTTCCCGGAGACCACCCCGCTCTCACCGCAGGGCAGCCCGGCGCAGGCCAGGAGCAGGCAGAGCGCGGGCGCAGGGGCCCTCATAAGGGCGCGTGGGTCAGGGCAGCCGGCGGGGCCCAAGCAGCGTACACTGGCTCTCTGGCCGATGGCGCTCGGGCTCTCAAGGCCTGGAGCTCCCTCGGGCCCGCCTCCCAAGCTAGCTCCTCCCCGAGCTGAAGCTACTGGACCGCCCAGCTCATTACCATAACACAGCCCCTGGGGAGGGGGGGGGGCCCAGCCTTTGCCCTTGGCCTTGTGGGTCTCTGGTTGTACCTCCTGACTGGGTAAGGCAGGGTGGGGGGAGCTGGCTTCAGATCACTCAGTGCTAAGTCCCCTGGAGGAGCCAGGAGGTGCAGCCACAAGCCCCCTTACTGCTCAGACTCAGGAACCTGAGTCCTGAAAGCCCTTACTCCAGAGCGCCAAGATACTGGTGTGCATCTGGGATAGAGCATTCAACAGTCAATGGCCAGTGGCCTGTAGCACAAGCAGGACCAGGGCCTGAGTCTTAAAGGGCCCTGGGTAAGGAAGGAGTAGAGGCAGGACTGGGTCAGAGTGTGAAGAGAAACCCTCTTAGAAGAGAACAGGACTGCGTGCGGTCCCCCAAACCAAGAGGAGAGCATTTAGGAAGGAGGGGTAATGAAGGACTTGTGTGGAAGCAGAGATCATGTGACAGGATGGAGGTGGCCGGTGGAACTTATTCTCTCTCCCAAGGACATACTTCACTCTGCCTGAATTCTGAATATAACATAGACTGCCTCGTGACCTATTGAAGAAAGGTAGAGGGTCGATGAAGCAAGTTGAAGGGGATACATTTATTTTGTGGACTCTTTTCTGGACCTTTGAAGACCACACAAGTTCTTCCTCTGAAGTGCTGAAACCCTGGTGGGGACTGAGCATGATAGTGGGACAGGAGGAAAGTCAAGGGAACTAGAGTAAAGAGCTGGGAGGCAAAGGGTATTTATAGAGGTCTAGATAAAGACATGTACATATGCAAATATATTTATATGAGGATGGGGAAATAGAGCTATGTGCCTATATTTATA